TCCCTGTGAAGGATACAACACATGTGCCTTGCAGGGGGATCTTGGAGGTAAACGGCGAAATACTGCATGATCTCAGCCTTCCCCTTGAGAGGAAAGGAGATCTTTGGGAGAAGCAAGATCTTGCACAGATATTATTGGTGGGCTAGCACAGAGGCCGGACAGGAGCCTTCTGGATGCGGGTGGGCGTCTTTAAACATCCTTCGTGCACACCCGCCTCCTGGCGCGCATGAGCGGGAAACCACCAGAATTTGAAACAGCCAGCGATGGCAGTTTACATACAAGCGGTCCAGCGTCTGCAAAGACGCCCGATCGCTTGTATGACGCATGTCTCTATGCACCCCCCTTACCTCTTCTCGTGGTCACCGTCCCCACGATCCCGGGTGTCCAATCCGGGATGGGCGATGTGGCTCCGTGCACTGAGAACGGAGGGCGTTCAGTACATGATCTTCCTCCGCTCTCCTCCCCAGTCTCTGAATGCAGGAAGTGATGTTTACTACATCACTTCCGCATTCCTCTGTCACTCTCCGGTACAGAAACCGGAGAGAAGCTGATGAAACAGATCTGTGCTTCATCAGCTTCTCTGGGGGTCCCTAGGTGACGTTAGGGGTCTTAGAGACCTGTCACTGTAATTTGATATCACATAGGGGTATGTGTAAACACCGCGGTCAGCAACCGGTTAAATGGTGGTGGGGATTCGGCAGAAGAGGAGTGCAGTTTGGGAATAACATAATGAAAGCCGTGTGTTACGTGTTGCTGAAAGCAGCATATTCCAGGTTCATTTGAAAGGACACGACGGTCTGTGCTCTTTAACACAGGTATAAAGAGAACAATTTACACTACAACTGATGACCTCCTACTAAAAATGTGAGTTGCCAAACTGTCTCTGAATTCAGTACTTTGAGTAACTTACCTGAAAAAAAGCACAGCAGATAAAAACCAAATTCCTGATTTCATTTTTTTTCAGGTCAGCAACTCACTTTAATAAAATAACTGAATCAGCAGGGCAACCAAGAAACGAGCATCTTAAAACAGGAATGGTCATCAATGGCACCCTTCATATTTTCCTAACCCTTGAGCAATGCAACTGCCCAAGCGTGCCATCTGATTAAATGGGGGGTTAGCGTAACTGAAGATGCACTCAGTGTTTTTGCTGCTTTTCACACAAGTCCTGGACAGCACTCAGCATGCTGTAGATCCCCACAAGATAAAGAAAGTTACACTGTGTAACCAGACTATACTCAGAAAAATAACCTCAAATCCCACATTTCAAATCTAACAGGAAAACTGTACTAGGTTAGCATGCCTGACCTACTTCTGAAATGCTAGCCGTCTGCCTGTCCGAGTAAAATACTTTCCGAGTCAGTGACCCTAAACAAGTATTCAGAAGCGCCAATGACATCAGATCTATGCACTTGCACCAGGTCAATGATACAAAATGCACCAAAGCAACTTTGTATTCATTAATACAAAGCCTGCCGTGATTGGCTCAGCGCGATGTACTGTATGTAGCCTAAGCTACATACAGTATACTGTATAGCAGTGGTCCCCAAGCCCCGGGCCGCGGCCCGGTACCGGTCCGTGGATCAAATGGTACCGGGCCGCAGGCGAAGCAGCGCTCCCGACTCTGCTCTGCCCAGCTCCGTGTCACAGACTTTACTGCGGTTCATTGTAAAAACTTTGTACAATGAACTGCAGTAAAGTCTGTGAATGGGGCGGACGCACTAGCTCAATGCTAGAGCGGCATGCTAGATCGGCAGCAGGAGGAGACGGGGACGGAGCAACAGGGGGCGAAGACAAGAGTTAGGGTGGACGCCCGGGAGATCGAAGAGGTGAAGATGGAGTAGACTGGAGGGCCGATGACTGTAGCTGAGGAGGCGGGGAAAGGCGGAAGATGGAGGAGACGTTGATTGGGTGCCGAGGCAGCGGAGGAGGCCTTTAGACCCGTCTTATATGCCGGCAAATACGGTATGTGATAGCACTGAGGCAGGCAGTCAAACCTCATACCCAGATGTGCCACCTATATCTATTTGTTCCCAGTGGGTGAATGTAGGAGCAAAGGAAAGGAAAGGTTCTGGGGAAAGGGCAAACCACAGTAATTTTGTAATTCTGGTCACGCATGCTTCGTTTTCTCTACAGGAGAAATCAGTCAATTCCCCCATCGGCAGCAAACCGCATAGATGAAACAATCTACCCTGCCGGATACTGTATTCACACAGCCTGCACCACTGCCTGCCTCAATAATCGAGCAGTGACTGATTGGATACAGTTGCTGTTTGGCTGACAATTTTCCATCGGCTCATTCGCTTTTTTCAGTCATCACAGTCAAGGTTTGTCAAGTCAGGTCGTGCAGACAAAACAGCTCAAATTTCAGACGAGTCAGCAGAAATTGGAGCCATGTATGCTTACCATAACCACATGCTGACAGGGGTGTTAAACCCCCTTCCTGCCCAGGCCATTTTCCAGTATTCAGCACTGCAGTACTTTGACAGATATTCAGTCATACAACGCTCTACTGAAATGTAATTTAAACCTTTTTTGGGGGGACATATAGAGCTTTCTTTTGGTGGTATTTGATCAGCACTGGGGTTATTATTTTTTTACTATATAAAACGACAAAAGTACTGCAAATTTAGAAAAAAAACAAGCCTGTTTAGGTTATGTTATGAAACATTTATATTTACCCAAATTTTTGGTAAAATATAAAAGATGGCGTCATGTCAGGTAAATAGGGATGCACAGATATAGTTTTTTCTGTTTCGAGTACTGATATTTTGCTTTCGACACTTGCCTATACCGAGTATCAAAACCGGTGCTTCTGCTGGCATGGAGTTGGCTGCCTGGGCAATCAGGAAGCCGTGTGGCGGGTAATGACACGAGGCCCGGCTTCTGTATTGCCTGGGAAGCCGGCTCCATGTTGATTGGCCAGGAAGCTGGCTTCCCAGACAATCGGCATCGAAACGGCCAAACAGCATGGAGCTGGCTTCCTGGCCAATCAGGAAGCCGGGCTGTGAGTCATTACCCGCTGCCCAGCTCCATGTTCCTTCGCGGCAGTGCCGGCCAGAGGAAATTTCCCTCTAACCAAAGGTTTCAGTATCGGGGGTATCAGAGCATTTGGACAAGTACGAGTACCCAAACAAAGTTCCCCCGTCGCTGACAGCAAACTACTATTCCTCTCAATTTAGGCTGTACCAGGGTGCGGCTCCTCCTCAGATTGGAATGCTCTTATCCAAACCTGCAAAGGAAAAACAGAAAAGAGCACCCTCCTGTGTAGTACTGGTGATTTATTAAATAACTTTTTAATAAATCACCAGTACTACACAGGACGGGCGCTCTTTTCTGTTTCCAAGTACGAGTACTCGCCCAAATACTTGGCATCGGTGCATCCCTAATTATTACATATATGCACACAGGAATCATCCACAATATAACTGCATTGCCTCTCCGTAGCTCCCTCTAATGAGTTTTATTCCCAGCCAAAGAAATGACTGCTAAAGGCGGAAGTGATGTAATATGATGTAATCGCTTCTGCCCTTAGGCCTCGTTCACACCTGACCGTTTTGTAGGGTGTTCTACGCTCGACGAACGCTCTACAAAACGGTCAAAAATATAAATTGCATTGTAGTCAATGCCCTCGTTCCCACCTAGGCGTATTTCCGCCCGTCCCTAACGCCCTACAAAACGGCCCACGCCTGAAAAGGTCCCGGGACTACTTTGGTGCCTGTTCTCCATTGAGATACGGCCAAGTAGAATTTGGAATCGCGCGACTTTTTACCGCGAATCGCGGTAAAAAAAATGCGCGACAGATGCGCATATTGCAATACGCCTAGGTGTGAATGGGGCCTTAGAGATCAGAGAGGAGATCAGCAAGTAGGAGAATGCTGATCTCTCCCTCGTCTACAGTGTCGATGTGCCGGTCCCAGGCTTGCAGGGGGGACAGCGGAGTCCAAAATAACCGCCAGCGGCGGTGGAGGGGGTGCACGCTGTATGTTGTAATACAATCGATCAGCCGGCTAAACGCTTGTAACAGCCGGTACCGACTGTTTACATATCCGGCGGGATTCTGCTCACGCGCAGCAAAAAAAATAAAAAAATCACGTACATGTACATTAACCCCCCAGGAAGCATCCGCTATCCACCGGTGAATTTACAATGAGCGGACGGCAAGTGGTTAAAGTCCATTTCCACCTTTGTAAGTGATTAGCATTTAGTGTGGTAATGAAGAGGTGCAGTGATGATGTATACTTATGTACATTTCCATGACTCACATTTTAGGCTTTCCTTATTTGTTTAATAAAGGTTTTATTAGGCCTGAAGCCTAGAAATGCAAAATTTTCTCCATAGGAAAATCAGTCAGACATCAGGTTTACATGTAATCAGGCTCAAAAAGGTCTTGCCCTCCCTGTTACTCACTATAACATGATCAGTAAACAGCAGCTCTGGGGGGAGCTGCCACAATGAATACTAATGAATGGGAGAGGTGTGAAAGCTTGCAAAGCAGAGGCAGACATTTTGAAGAGGAAAGCTAACAAAAAGTCAGTTTTCAAACACAAACACGTGTTCAAAACACAGCAGCTGCATATCCCTGTTTCATGTACATGCGGGGTACATTGCTGGCATATATATATATTTTTTTTAAATGCCTCTGCAAAGGAACACAGGAATCGAGCAAGATTATTACAGTGCGTGGCCCTGAAGGCTCAACATAAGTCGATTATTCAATAGACTTTTGTTGAAAGAGCCAGCTGCAGTCCCTATATTCTGACAGCGGTAGGTGTCAGCTGTTGGAATACAATGGCTGCAGCAGGAGCTTTCTCCATCCATACTGTTTAGCGTGGATAGAGGAAATCTGTTTTTTTAATAGTGTATGGCCAGCTTTAGTAAGCTGGAAAATTAGATTATAGAAAGAAAAAGGTCAATGATCTTTAAAGATACATGCATGACTACATAAAACGATCCCATGCTCCACCCCACCAATGGATTCATCAGAAGAGCATAAATACCTTTGCACGCCTTCCATCTGCTCCTTTGTGTAACTCTTTACAGCATCCCCAGCAGTATTTTCCTTCTCTGCATTTTGCTTGAGTTGCTCTTCTACATTTGAAGCCTTTGCGGTCTGCGGTCCATTCCTTGTTGCACTGTCGGCTTTTTCAAGTTTTGCCAGTAGTTCTAAAAGATATAAAAAAATATACATAAATGATACGCAAAAGCTGCAATTAAAATAAAGAATGACTACCTTAAAATGTTTGCCACAACTTGGCGATTGTTGTTTTCTTGCCAAGGGTGCTTAACCATACTTTGTGCATGAAAGGAAAGATTCCACCCAAGGCTATTTACAGAGCAGATCGCCTGGTTGTTTTTAGCGGCTGCCTGGCACCTGCAGGGCACGGTTTGCAGTTTCTTTCACTGGGGTGAAGAGCTCTGGCAGCACATACAAGGACAGGCTAAAAGCATCATGGACTCAAGCACTTATCCTATCAGAAACAATGTCCTCACTGTATGCAAAGCTTTAGCATTGTGTTAGGCAGGGGGGCCTGCTGTACAAAAGAATAAATAGAGCCAATGCCATTTGTTATAATGCACATTACAGCAATGCACAGTAACGTAATATAGATGTGGGTTACAGTACATCGTAATTCAAAGTTACCTGTACCCAAACGCACACCTAGCATGCACTGCAAAAAAACTATTACACTGCACTGAAAATACAGTGGTAGCGTCACCAGCACATCAAAAAGGTACGCAAAACACAGACATTTACTGCCACAAATTTAAGATACGACATTTTCGGGGCAGCAAAGAACCTCTTCATCAAAGCAGTAGTAATCAACGGGTCCTTTGTAGCCCCCAAACGTCACATGTTAAGCTTGTGACAATAAATGTCCCTGCGTTCTGCATAACTTTGGGGTGTTAGTGATACTATTGCTTTATTCGGCTTGATTTGATGGCACCAACTGTTGTTGAACCGTCACTGCAGCACCCATTTCTGACGATGTTTCAGATATACGGAGTGCACTGGTCATATGCACTCAAACTATGCACTGCAACACTCAGATGTATATGCTCTGTGCTGGAAAAATTGTGCAGGACCTTTTTAATTTTGTGCAATGAGGTGTGTTAACAGCCCATTTAAAAAACTGCCCATCGAACCACAGTGAATTATGGTATGAATGTGCACTTAACTGTGAAAGAGCTGCAGAAAATTGGGCTTCAAAACAAAATAAAAGGTTTGACTTTCATTGCACACACGGTTATATGTAAACCAAGGTTTTCCTGTAACAGCGATTTTTACAATGTACTGCCCTTTTTAGTTTTACCGCCCTTTTTAGTTTTACCGCCCATCTACTCTTTCAAAAAAAATCAAATGAATCTAAGGAGAACACTGCACGACCTGGTCAACTGTTTTCCCAGCATTACCTGGATACCCCTCCAAATACAAGCATTTCTGCAATACTAAAGCGGACTGTACACAGAGAGAATTTCAGCCGGTCCCTGAGGAACTGGTCAAATTTCAAGGCATGAGGGACACTGTCGGCACCCTTCACTTGACAAAAGTCGATTTTTTTTTAGCCAAACAGTGACTGCAGCCAAACAGATGCAGGAATTGTCTGGGTTTTCGGCAACCGCTAGAGTAGCGGGAGATTTGCCCATTCACCCGTTCAGCTGGCAGGATGAATGAAAACAAACAATCTACTAGCACATGGCCAGACATAGCAATGGAGAGATTAAGAAGAGAACTGCTTGCTTGTCACTAGTGATGAAGCCGAGCTTGGTGTGAACCCAGTTTGCCTGAATTTTCTAAAGCATGCTCAAAACTCAGGGGCTAACAAGTCCCTGTGTGATAGCATTTGGAGGTGACAGGTACTCTTTCTTGACCCTGTCACCTCCAACACAGGAGTTATAGCACAGCACTGTGCTAAAACTCCTGTGACAGGAACGAGCAGCGGCTGGGGACAGAGGCTGAGGGAGGTGAAAGAGCCTGCCTCAGCTCCATTGTCCGGCTCCGTCACCGATCCACGCCCCCCTCTCAGTAAAAAATAAAAATAAAATCAGCCCTGCTACTTGTCCGCAGCAGGGCTAAAACGCTGAAAAAAACACTTGCCCAGAACTACGGGCATCAGGCGATACGAATTCCCCCTGCTATGGCCCTTGTTTACACCCGAGTAGAGCTGCAACTAATGATTATTTTCATAATCAAATTAGTTGGCTGTTTATTTTTCCAATTAAATTGGATTAAAAAAAACACAGCATCTTGTATTTAAAATAAAAAGACACAAATGGAATGTTACAAAGTTTTCTTCAGAGTGGGATGCCATTGACATTAATGGCACTACAACGCACTTCCCAGACCGGAATTTTCTGGCCGAAACCAAAAATGATGCTTGCCAATATTTTTTAGCTCAGTGCCATCATATTGGGGGGGGGGGGGCCTCACAAGCCCCCTATGCGATAGCACATTGGAGGTGACAGGTTCTCTTTAAGGTGACAGGGGACTTTTAGGGACCTAGTGTCACCTTTTCACTTCACTTGGTAATGACAGCAGCCTGCTGAGGCAGCTGAATATCAACATAGCAGGCAGTGGCTGGGTGCAATAGCTAGCCTGCTATTAGCCATTTTAAATTGCAATAGCCGGCTGGCTATGGCACCTGCCCGCTGCCTGCTGTCAATCAGCAGAGGAGGGCACTAAAGGAAACAAGTTTTCCTTCAGGTCCTCTGAAGGCTGATTGAGAGCAGGCAGCGGGGGGCACCAACGGTCTGTGTCCCCGCTACCTCTGCCGATACCGGGGAGATGCGCAGGGATTGAAAGGGACACCAGTGGGGCGGAGAATGGAGGAGCAGATCATCGCCATACCTGATCAGCGGTAAGCTGATCTGTGTGAAGGCACATTCACACCACATCATCTTTAGACCATATTGTTTCCAGACCTAAAATGCATCCTAATGTATCCCTATGCTATTTCTGGCCTCTGTTCACACCAGCGCAGTCCGTTCCAGACCAGAAAAATACTGCATGTCTCATTTTGTCTGGACTGGAATGCATGGAAACGCAATAAAAAAAAAAAAAAAAAAAAAAAAGCCCTGAAAGCCCATTTTAAGCAACAAAAACCCAGCAGAACACAATGTGCTGCGTTCCAGATCTGGTCCAGAAAATGGTGTGAACCTGCCCTAAATGCACACAAGTCTATTTACATCTGACTCCCAATGGACAGACACGGGGTCCAGTAGTTTCAGTTTTTTCCTCTAAGCCAAGGCAAGATGGATGAAAAATCTGGACGGACACAAATCTTACAACGGTGACATCCATTCTGATCAGCAGGGAATCTGTGCATGGAGCCCCTCCTGATCGGACCATGTGAAAGGGACCCTGCCACTACAGGGTTACTTGTACGATATAGATCACCTGTAAAAGAAGTATTTTCAGTGCTTGCCTTTCTATTGGCTTGTGTATTGAGAACGACTTCTACATCTCCGCTCCCCACCAAGTAATTAAGCCCTCTTATGAGTTGAATGTTTACTAGTCGCTGCGGTTGTAAGTCCTGCAGTGTTGTACAAATCAGTGGAAGAAATAACAGGGGACAGAGAGGGAGCAAGTATTCGACACACCCGGAAGCGCTGGCTTTTCAATACACAGGCTGCTGGAAATAATGTATCTTTTACAGATGCCTTGATTTGTAAAAGTCACAGGGTCAGTATAACGTGTCCTGTGCCATAAAACCACTGCGCTAATAACATTCAGCATCAAGAAAAAAAAAATGCAGCCAGCCATATTCCAAAGAAACCCGCACGTGTGGAAGTATGTGCATCTGCATTCTAAAACCATCATGTGAAACTTCGGTGCTTGCTGATTGATGCATCACCAATTAGAATGAAGCCTCAGGACAGAAATGGACAGATCTGATGGATAGTTGTGATAAACCAATGACACTACACGCATCAATCTTTATGTACATAGGCAACAACACTGGTGGAGTGTCTGGGAATGCCTCTCCATCACAAACTCATAAGCAAATGGGGTCTCAATATTACCAGATTTACACAAGGGATAGATGTGAACTTGAGCACTACACTAATGCTGGCCATACACTTGTATCTTTTTTTTCTCATTCACCCTGCAGGGTTGTTGAACATGGATGGGAGAATCTATGGTATCCTGACAGCCAGTGTCCGTTGCTTTTAAAGCACATGAACAGTATTTGCAGTAACTGCAGAAACTGGACTTTTATTGAACAGAGTGGTGCCGATGGGGCCACACTACTTACATTTTGTCTGAGTCAGCAGGCAGCATTATACTTGAATAGAAGACTAAAGCACATGGCGGGCACTGCGGGCATTTTCCATTTAGACTAGCTTTTCATTTTAAGAAAAACCTAGGGACTTTTCCATACTATTAAAATGAAAAAGGACTTCCACTTTAAAGTGGACCTTTACCCCCTTTCACTACAAATCACATCAGGCTGCAGCTCTGCATGCTGATATGAAATCATCTTACATTCATTAGGTAAATAAACATTATTTTAGCTTTCACTTACAATTCCTGTTTTTCTGCTTCCTGGTTGAGTAGGGCACTTCCTGGACTTGAAGATGCAACCTGGGAAGGCTCAGAGAAATCTAATCTGTAAACTGCAAAATCTCACGAGATCTCAGGGGAAAGGCACTTATTTCCCCTTCAGATGATGTGCACTATCATATGTTCCAAAAAGCAAGCCCAGAGTTTAGGAAGTAGAGGGAGATGGATTCATCTGCCCTTAGTGAAAATGGTCACTGTGAGAAGAATGGTGAGGAAAAGAAAAATGAGGTATGCAAAGAATACAAATTTGGCAAAGTGCCATGAGGAAATGTAGTGTTTCCCCGAACTTCTTTATCTCCTTGCTTGGCACTGGTCTGTGTGCCTTGCAAAGCAGCGACCAGTGTCCAGCGTAGAGGAGAGAAGCTTTCAGGAGGCCGTGACATGCCGAGCAGTGCAGCCAGTGAAAGCGGGCATCTTCAGAAGGCGGAGGTCTCCTCGCATCTTCTGTGTCAGGATGGAGAGGTGTGATTTGAGGAGAGCACTGTGATCTGCCACAGGAGGCAAGCTCTCCTCCCCCACCGCCTCCTGTGACAGCCCATTAACGACGGAGATTGGTATACAAATACTCACCGATCAGCTGATCGCTGAGTTTGTAAATAAA